TGAACTAAACCTGAACTACAGCTGAGTTACACCTGAACTACACCTGAACTAAACCTGAACTACAGCTGAGGTACACCTGAACTAAACCTGAACTACAGCTGAGTTACACCTGAGGTACACCTGTGATACACCTGAGCATTTGTTTTTGACGCTTCCTTTGTGTCGCTTGTTAAAGAATTGTTTAAGAACAGAATAGTTCGCCCCGTGCAGACTGCCCCTGTCTCTGTGAGAGTTCCAGGACGTTCCAGGACTTGACTCACTGCTCTGCTCCTGCTCCATGGCTGCCTTCAGCTGCTCGGGGATCCCCATACCGGGGATGGAGGCCACGCTGTTCAGGTCCATGTCATCTGAAGCACAAACACAAAGCGACGGTCATCAGCTGCTTCACTTTGAAATCACCGCTGTGTCATTTTGAGCCCTGCCGCTCACCGTACTCCATGCCGTCCTCTGACATGCCGGGCAGCAGGTTCAGGTTATATCGGTCTCTCATCTTATCGCCCGGCCGGTTCCTCGTCCAGAACTTACTGAAGATTGAGAACAAACCCAGAGAAGCATGAAGAGACACTTTCAAAATAAATCATTCATTCGACCCTGGAGGAGAAAGTTCACAGTGGTCTATGAACGTGTCCGGCCGTCTGAAGTAGTTTGCAGTTTGATCCAGCAGAGGGTGCTCTCAGCGTAACTTCAGTAACGTTGTGGCAAAAGCAACAGGGGGCGTGATTCAGGAGACGCAGACAGCACAGGGTCACTACAAACCTGCAACTCTCCAAGCTGGCTCGCAAATAACATCAGAAGGTAGTTGTAAATAAAAAGAGAGCAGCACTCGATTTAACAGAGTGTTGGTTTTAGACTCGTTATTGGTACGGGGTCATGACTTATTTTCCTCTGGGAACGAGTGTGAGATTCTCGTGGGACGCCGGAGGACTTCCAGTCAAGACGTCCTTTTGCATGTGGCGTTTTAATATATGTTGCATGTGTGTTTAAACGTGTACCTGGTGTGGTCGTTGGAGCCTGAGCACAGGATGTGACCGAGCGGATGCCAGGCCAGACTCCAGATCATCCCCTCGTGAGCCATCTCCATCCCGCCCACCTCCTTCTCCACCCTACAAACAAACACCAGCTGTGAACACCTGAACCAGTCCGACCAGTGACCCAGCAGCTAACTGAGTTTCAGTAGAGTCGTATTGGAGTTCAACAATTCTGATCGTTACCCCGTGTGCCAGAAGAGCAGGGAGCCGTCCGAGCCGCCGCTGGCAAACAGACCCTCATGGACGGGATGCCAGGCCACCGCTGGAGACAGAAAACATCAAACATTCATCATCAAGGCTTCTCACTTCAGTTAAGCAGGTGGTGACCTGACAGGAAGCAGACTGCGTTCCTGCCTGGTCACATGGTCTCTGTGGGCAGGCTCACCTGTCGCCTCCTTCTTGTGTCCTCTGAACACCTGCAGCTCCTCCTTCAGGTTTCTGATGTCAAACAGTTTACACAAATGGTCACGTGACGCCGTCAGCAGCCAATTACCGTTCAGGTTCCACTTCACCTCCATCACTGTGTTCTTGTGGGCGTGGCTACAGAGAGAGAGGGGCAGGGTTAATGAAGGAAGGCTTTATGAGGATGATTGGTTCATTGATCGTTGATAAAGTTATGAATAATACGATCAGGAGTCGTCTGTATGTCATGTTTTATTTTGAAATGGACCGGATGCTCTGTGCGTTATCTTGTCTGACTTCCTGTCCCGGTCAATTTGTTGTGTCCAGCTTGACACGCGCTTGCAGCGAGCTGCGTCGAGGTGTCTACAAAACGAGAAATCAACTCCTGCAGTGGAGTTAAGGGGAGATCAAAGACTCAGGGGTCAGAGGTCATACTCACAGTGTGGCCAGACTCTGTCCCGTCTTCGGGTCCCAGAATTTGATTGGCTGCTGGCTGTCTTTGCTGCCCGAGACCACCAGACCTTTAGTGGGGTGCCAGTCGACACACTTCACATCTGCACCGTGACCTGAACACACGCACGCACACACACACACACGCACACGCGCACACACACACACGCACACACACACACACGTTTATTAACCGTCTTCTGTTCAAATAAAAGTGGGCGTGTCTCCGCCTCACTCTGATTGGTCAGAAGTTTTAATTAAAACTGAAATGTTAAATTGAAACAGATAATTATTACACTTTGATTTGTCCTCTCTGAGCCTCCGTAGAAACAAACATGAAGATTACCTCGGAGGATCCTCTCCTCGTGACAGCGCATGAAGTCCCAGATCCGGACCGTCCCATCGTCTGAGCACGTCGCAAACTTATTATCAGTGGGTGAGAAACTGGAGGAGAGACAGGAGAAGGGAGGAAAGGAGACATAGGAGAGGAGAGGAGTAATAGGAGAGGAGAGGAGAGGAGACATAAAAGAGGAGAGGAGACATAGGAGAGGAGACATAGGAGAGGAGACATAGGAGAGGAGACGAGACAGAGGAGACGAGACAGAGGAGAGGAGAGGAGA